AGAAACAGGACTACACTGGAAAACAGGCCAAGCTCCAACATCTAGAAACAAAGGTGTTGATGGCAGCAGCACAGCTGATATTTCTCTTCTGGTGTCACATAAGAATACAGACTGTAAATAAAAATATGAGAAATAAAAGCTAGATTATCGATATGAATTCAACCGTGATAAATTGATATTAAAATTAAGAAAGGGGTAAAAACCAAAGAATAAAAGTCAGAATCTTACCTTTAATACGTTGCCTTCAGGAGTCAGGCGGACGGTAATGGGGGACACGGTTGTCCTCATTGTCTCCTCCCTCGCTCCATAGCATGCTAGCAGACAAGCTGAACATGTCTCCCGAGGAGGCGGAGCGGTGGATCGTCAATCTGATCCGAAACGCCAGGCTGGACGCCAAGATCGACTCCAAGCTGGTGAGGCTTCACGCTCCCTGAGCCGCCGTCCAACCCGGCGTGGTTCCGCTGTCAACCGACTGTCTGTCTGTCTGTCAGGGTCACGTTGTGATGGGGAACAACGCCGTGTCTCCGTACCAGCAGGTGATTGAGAAGACCAAAAGCCTGTCTTTCCGCAGCCAGATGTTGGCCATGAACATGGAGAAGAGGACGGCCCACGGCGGCAGGAACGAGGTAGAGCATCCCGGCGTCTCCCTCTCTGGTTCCTCCTGCTTCGGTGTGAGATGAATAAACGTCACCATGATGCCAAACGTCCTGGCCTCTTCTGGTCGCTGCTCAGCAACCAACCTGTCAGGATATGAAAAATGTTTCAGAACAACAAAGGTGTTTAAAGTTCAAACTTGGCCCAGTCTTCTAAATTATAAACCGATAATCGACCTCAAAAATGATTAATTAGAACAAAGTTTCTTCCATCAGACTGATTTCTAATGATGCTGCCACCTGTGGCTGAAACACAGAACTGCAGCTCTCTTCTGCTCGTTTTCGTAGCTCGCGCTCGAACTAAACTAAACAAGCTGATATATTAAAGTATTAATCAGGATAGTCAAAATTTAGTTTTTCCAAGTTAAAACTTTTTTTGATTATCTTAGAAGTAATTACAGACTTGGGTTGTCACGATACTAAACTTTTAAACTCGATACCGATACTAAGGAAAATAT